ATATCATACTCCTTTAAAGCGATGGATCCAATAAACGTGTTCAGGTCATCATGCCTTATAGGTATTTATTTATTTATTTATTTTTTTTTTGTGAAAAAAGTTGGGGTGTTTGGTATATTGCATGGGCATGAAAGAGAAAATTGGGCCGTTTTGATATCATTTCCTTTTATATGATGAATCCAAACGGTACTGCCATCATATTTTTTGGGTGCCTGGTTTTTTTTTTGTTTTTGGTAATTAGTGACATTTTTTGGATTGGGCCGAAATTTTGTACAAAAATCATATTTTTGTTTTTTTGGAATGCTCAGTTACAGTCACATGCACGGTACGTTCACAACGTCAATCGATCTTACGCATGTGACAAGTGCTCAGGAAAATTTAAAACGAAGGGTCACTTACAGTCACACGTAGTGACTGTCCACAGCGCTGATCAACCCTACTCATGCCGTCAGTGCTTAGGAAATTTTAAAACGAAGGGTTCATTAAAGGAACATGTCACTCACGTTCACTGCGATGATCAACCGTTTTCGTGTGATCATTGTGTTAGTTCATTTAAATCGAAGACTCGCTTAAAGGCACACCTGGCGATTGTTCACAGCGCCGATCGACCCTACTCATGCGGTGAATGCTCACAAAAATTTAAAATGAAGAGCAATCTTAAGGACCACATGTTGCGTGTTCACAGCGACGATCGGCCCCATTCATGTGGTCAATGCTCAGCAAAGTTTAAAATAAAGGGGTCATTAAGGGAACATGTCACTCTGGTTCACTGCGATGATCGACCCTATTCATGCCGTCAATGCTCAGGAGATTTTAAAACGAAGTATTTATTGAAGAAACATGTAACCGAGGTTCACTGCGATGATCGACCCTATTCATGCTGTCAATGCTCACGAAAATTTAAACGGAAGGGTGATCTTAAGAAACACATGTTTGTCCACAGCGACGATCGACCCTTCTCTTGCGGTCAATGCTCAAGAAATTTTAAACGGAAGGCTACTCTTGAGAGACACATGATTGTCCACAGCGAAGATCGACCCTTCTCTTGCGGTCAATGCTCGGGAAAATATAAAAGAAAGGAAGTTTTGCGGCATCATGTCATACATGTTCACTCCCATAATTGACAGGTTTTGAGTAAAAATCAAATACATTATTTCAGATGCATGTGAGGATCTCCACATTGGTGATTGACCTTTTTGATGTAGTTATCGCGCAAGAAAACATAAATCAAAGTTTGCAGTCAAAGAGCATAATTTGCATGTCCACGACAAAAATCGGTCCTTTCAGCGTCGTTAGTGTGCAAGAAAAAAAAACAAAGAATGGATGGAAACTACACGTGATGCATTTCCACGGCTCACGTGAGTGATCGACTTTTCCAATGTGGTCGGTTCTGAGGCTAATTCAAAGCGAATGAGCATTTAAAGAAGCATGTGCTCGCCTGCATATTGGCAGTCGACCCTTTTTCGTGTGACCACTGTCCAAGCAAATTCAAGACGAAATATGACATGCGGTTTTATACGAGGGGCTTGGATGACAAGGCGCATAAGTGCAGTTTTTGAAAAAATCGAAATATTAATGATTTCAACTGAATCTAGTCTTAAAAAAAACTCTGTGAAAAATGCGCTTCCAAATTCCAAGTTTTAAACATCAAAAGTCAGTTTGAACTTTCTTTCCGCCATAAGGATCTATGTAATTTCGAAACTTCAAGCACGTATATCTCGAAATAGATAAAACTGCACTTATGCGCCTTGTCCTCCAAGCCCCTCATATGATGTACCTATGTTCACCGCGGAAAGGTTGTTCTCGAGTGATCGGTGCACAAAAATATTTAACGGAGGTATCAGTTGAGGGGCTAGGAGGACAAGGCGTATAGTTTTTGTTATTTCGATAAATACGTGTTTGGAGTTTCGAAATCACATGGACCCGTATGGCGGAAAGAAAGTTCAAGTTGACTTTTTGATGCTTCAAAATTGGAATTTGACTATTTTTACTTGTAATCAATAATATCTCCATTTTTTCTAAAACTGCACTTATGCGCCTTGTCCTTGGAGCCCCTCAATTACGGAGACATGAGATAGCTGTTCTTATTGACTGGGTGGTTCTTAAGTTAACATACTTAAAGCGAGGGCTGCTCTGAAAAGTGCAAGGTAATTTTTCCTAATTATTTTCCTACTACAAGTTTCCCAAATACTTTTTTCTACTATTTTTTCCATTTACCGTAAGTCTTATAAATGAGACGTCCTATTCGCTTTTTTTCTAAGGGCAATTTTCCTAATTGTAATTGAGACTGAAACATGAGAAGAACAGAAAGATGTCGACCAAACTTCACTACTTAGATTGGTATTTGGGAGACAACTCTATAATTTTAACCAATATATTGAACTTGTGAGGTATGTTATGTTGTTTACAAATTAAATTAGGACTAATGCCTGTAGGGATAAAGTCAATGGCAAATACCACTCTCAGGACTAACTGCAGTGGGACAAAAAACGATTATGTGTAAATTATTCGGACAATTTGTAGTAGGAAACAATATTTGAGAAAAAATGACTTGCCGTCGCTTTAAAAAAAGAGTTATGTCGTGCAGGTCGACAAAGCCTTTAGAAAAAACGTATCATTTTTTTCACATTTAAGACGTCCATTTTTGTAAAAATCCTCTGATTATAGTTATCTTTGAAATGGATCAAAGGTTTCTACTACATACTTTTAAATTGACATATTATTAGTATACTTACCTCAAAGTTTTTTAGTTGAATTACTACTCTAATACTTCATGTCAATCCTGTGCGCTGAAACTCGTCGTAGAAAATCCAATTTAGTGTTTTATCTAATCCATTTTAAGTGTTTGAAAGGTGCGAATTTCGTGTTTCTGGGAATTTAAAAGCTAGGAATGCAGGTTTATTTATACCGACTGTAAGGCATTATGAGATGGTCAAAGAGTTTAGTAGCCAATCAAAATTTGTTACAGTAAAGTTTCCGTTTATTATATGTGCACGGCCAATGAATAAAATAATTTCTTCTCAATGTACATAGTTGAAGCTGTAGTACTCTAATGTTGTTAAACGAAAATTTATCAAGTGTTAAAAATAAATGACAAATTGTCAATTTATGCGTTTAAATGAATCCTTTCACATACATCAAACTTCCGACGAGTTGTAAGTTTCAAAAATCACCTCTTTTTTCCGTGCTTTAGTACCAATTTTTACAAGCTTACAACAGAGAGACATCAGATTATTTTAGTTTCATAGATACAAGCCTCAGATGTTTCATGTTTGCGTGAAATGAATCTTTAAAAAAATGTTATATTCAAATCTAACCGAATTAATCGATAAATCAAAATAGGTCCATAAAAATATGCGTATATGGAAATTTCAATTTGCTATAGAGCAGCAATTTATTATCATCGCTTCTTACCGGGCGTAGATGCAATTACAGATTTTCAGTAAAGAAATTATCTAGAGAAGGGAAAAATAATAATGCCAAAAGTTTCACATGCATTCTTTTTGTATTTTTTCATCAATTCAATTTTTTATTCTTTGAATAAGTTTACTATGATATTAAAGTCTAGTTTTGTAAAAAATCACATAGTTATAACGTGCAAAAACATATTGCGAGGTTGCGCCGTGAACTGAACAGTCAGCGTGAGGGTGATTCTAAAACATTATCTGCTGGAATAACAGTTTTATCGCGTTTAGTAGAGAGGAACTAAAGTACAGTAAGATCGAACCAAAAAAAGGACTGGATTGTTATTACTCCATGAGACTAAATTTTAGCTGTAAAAGTAAACGCTATTTTCAAATTCAAAATATTTTTGCTCGACTTTGAATTTTTGACAGAAGAAAACCAAAGCCTAGTCAAGCTCAAAACCACTCTTAATTAATTTTTTTAGAATTAATTAGGATTTAGATTCTTTAAGAAATTGATGTGATGGCTCTTTTTAGGTTTTAATCCAGTCGCTAATCTGTTGATCAAAAGATAATTTTTGGATTTATGATGTTAAAAAAAGAAAAATCTGTGTAAATCACGTTAGCTTTTGTGCGACAGGTTTTTACATTCAAAATATGTTGGAGAAACACCACGGAATCAACTCCGAAAATAAGTCCGCAGTGAATATCTCATCGAAGGACACGACAATGTGACAGAATGATGTGACACCCGGGGATTTTTGGAAATACGACATTTTCCGACCTTTCATAAAAATATAAATCGAGAGTATTGCGTAGCGCATTGCGCATAACGCCTGAGGCGCGCGAAGCTTCTCGGGGGTTGGACCGCATAGCGACCAGGAGGCGTACCCCCTAGTGTCTTAAAATAGGTCTCATCAATGGGTCATTGTTGTGAACTGTTCTCAAAATTCAAATATCACCCAACGATCGATCGACAGTCAAATCATTCTCATAAGTACTGAATCTTTAATCCACTTCGAGCCTACGGAAGGAGCCCTTTAATTCCTCGATTTGGCTATCGTCTTTTCTCCGCAAGGTTTCATTCGAGCAGATATCGTCTTGCTGCATGAACCACTTTCTGTGCTTTTCCAACAACTGCTGAGTGTGTTCTGAAATATAAACACATCGCTTTTAAGAAGTGCATAATGGAGAAAAAACGATAAGATTTTGGGGCATGCTTAAAGTCGTTCTAGAAAGAGCTCATTTTCCCAAGGATTCTCCATTTCGACGGTGAAATTAGCAGACCACGTATCTCGTTTGCGGTGTTTAAAAATCTCCGCTCTCATTTTATTTTTTTGAAGGAGTCTTCAACGTCGCAAATCGAGATACGTGGTCTGGTAGGTTTACCATCGATTTGGACTACATTGTTTTTAAGAGAGGTTTAAGGAGACCTTTGATATGGAGGGTCTAATTTTACTAAACTTGAGTGATATTAAATGGAATAACTTCGGAACCAAATCCTCAAAATGGACTATAATAATTTGCCATTGAAAAATATTAAAAATACAACAGATGACTTAGCTCCCATACTCAGCGTGTGATTGCGGCACGAGACCTGCGTCACACTATCAAAACTAGCCATCAATATATCGAGGTCAGGAGTTGTGATTGGCTTATTCGACGACTTTGACCAATCACAGCACTTGACCTTGACATTTTGATGGAGTATTTTGATAGTGTGACACAGACTTATAGGTACTAAACCATGCCCCCCTAGAGTACCTGTATAGCGAGAGTATAGACAGATGTGAAACTCCGAAAATCCATCAGGCCTTCACCGATGCCTCCGCAAATAAAGTTAGGGCCCAGAAATGCAGCCAACTTATGAATTTCAATTATCCAGAACGATTTATTAATACAATTGTTACGAACCATCGTTTATAAAGCATGTATTTGACTTAGTTTTTGCATAAATTTACTCATTTTTGTGGAAGAACGCTCATTTATGTACTTTCTTAGCCATCTTCGTTAGAATTGGAATCCACAGACTGGCAGTGAACTTTAGTGCGTCAGAAGTTGGTCAGAAGGGTGGCTGCACTTTTGGGCCCTAAGCTCTCCATGAAGCGATCTGTCCATACTCTCGCTATACAGGTACTCTATGCCCCCCCCCTCCCCCAATCTTACCTTCCAGTTGAGAGAGGCTGCTTCCTCTGCCGCCGAAATCCGAGCACAGGACGTCCATATCAATCTCTTCCCCGAAGCTGAGGCTGCCCGACTTGTGGGTGTAGATCCGGTCCCCGAGTTTCTGGGAGAAGTACTTCTTGAGCACGTCGGTCATGAGGTGCACCGTCGCAGGGGCGTTGATGAGGTGGATGGCCCTGACCCTCTCCGAGTAGGCCTTGTCGTAGATCTCCGCCATGGGCCCAGCCCCGAGGGCCGTCTTGAGGATGTGCTGGGCCTGGATCCCGTTGCAGTCCACGAAGGACATGAAGTTGTTGAGGTCGGGATACTCGACGAGCAGGGCGTCCGTCAGCATGAATATCCGCTTCGTGAAGACGACCATGTTCAGAAGGTCCGGATCCCCGAATTTGTAGTAGTATATCATGCCGCCGGTTTTTGTCACCTGCATTAAATATGTCTTATATAAGTGCGTGTGACCGACGATGTGTGTTGAGGATGACTTATTTCGTTGATGGTCATACAGGGACAAATTCTTACCCGTTCTAATTTTTCACAATTGAACCGCGTTTGGCAGAAAGGAACCAAGGCACATCAGCTATTGCCAAATTTAACCAAGCGATTTAATTTTTCACAAGAGAACGTTCGTGCGGATTCCTTCGAAAATTTTAAGGAATTTGCTTCGTACCAGCTGGGCAGGACATTTAATACAATTGGCCCAGATAACCGTTTTCATGTGAAAAATTAAATTGCCCAGTTGAATTTGGCAATAGCCGTTATGGCTTAGTTCCTTTCTGTTTAACGCAGTCTAATTTACGATGGTATTCATTATTGTCACTCAAACATAATGTAAACTGTAGCCTGAGGAGGGAGCTGTTTAAGGAGCGATACCGAATGCGGTCCTAAAAAGTGATCATTGAAAACGCAGTAATTTTTTTTAAATGCAAACTTGAGTCAGTCATTATCCTAGCCCAGTTGAAAGTAGCCAGTATTTCAGTCGGTACTATGTCAAGTAAAGTAGAGATATGTAGCATTAAAGTATATGTACATGGACGCATATTTCTACTATATGGAGCTGCAGACGAGTGGGACGGTTAGGGTGTGCTCTGAAAAGGTGGATGATAGGTGGAAAACAATGTAAAAAAGGGCGTGATTCCCTTTGGTGAGATGGAAAAGCGGTATTTTCTATTCTACCAGATGGAACGAAGCGCCAACAGTATGCGGCACTCATGAGCCGTGAGCATGGCAAACGAGCGTTGTGGACAGGGCTCATAAGTTGAAGCGAAATACGGACAACCGCGGCGGCGGCCTCATCGCTGACGTCACTGGCGCTGTATAATTCCCTTTCATTCTTCTGGTCCTCGACTAACAAGTACATCCCCCCCCCCCCCCCCCCNCCCCCAACTGTCTATGGTTCCGTTTAACAGAAATACCAGTGGCGTGGCGTGGTTTGCGATTTATCGGTTGATCTGTCATTTAAACCCATGGAAAAGGATCGATTAACAGGGTGTTCGCAGCGAACACCTTAATAATCGATTCTTTACCAAAGCTACAAATAGGGAAATATCGATAATCGATCACTTACGCCACGCCACTGAGAAATACGTTCTTATGAAGAACATATCGACGGTGAAACTACCAAACCACGTATCTCGGTTTGCGACGTTGCAGAATTTCCTGTCATACTTTATTTTCTAAATGAAAAACAACTCAAATCCAATTCTTGAAAACTTCCGAAAACACGCTCCGTGAAAACTTCAAGGAATGAAATCGATCTTGTTCTCCTTAAAAAAAAAAAAAAAAAAAAAAAAAAAAAATTGGATTGGATATTTTAAAAGATCACAAATGAGATACGTGGTCTGGTAGTTTCACCATCGATATGAAACACGGAGAACTGTTATATATGAACTTATGTCTGCCAAACGGAACTATGTGCATTAAGGCATGATCCCTGAGACCCATAAGAATACATGCATAACAGGGCTCACGTCATAATGCACATAGTTCCGTGTGGCGGAAATACGTCCATGATATCCTACCTTGTCTGAAACGGCGACCGTAACTGCCTCTCTGGCTTGCAATATTTCCGGAGCTGTGGGGTCACGGTTTTTGTAGATGTGAGGAAGTTTGGTCCGCAACGTGTATAGGTTTTCTAGTTTGCGCTTGGTTTTTTCGAGGCTGTATTTGTTGGTGTGGAGGTAGGTTTGGAGCCATTTCTCGTCTTCAATTTTCGGCAGGTGCGGCTCCTTCGATATCCAATCCTTCAGGTGTTGCACGTCCTCCCTGATCCTTTCGGCTGAAGGGGTTGGTGCATCATCCATTTCAAGGCGGCAACGAAAAGAGTCCGACCTGTTTAAAAACGGGATGCATAATTATTTCTTTCACAAAACGTCTCGTTATGTCAGGGGGGATCGACTATACCGATGGATCAAAATATTTTCATCGAGAGAAAAAATACTCTACCAAAGTTTGACGTACTTATGAAATCGTTCATGAGTAACACCATTTTTAATATTCTAGTTTGAGTAAGGAGCCAAGGTGTTATGTTCATTTTTAATTTATTTTAAAACATTTTTTAAAACAAACTGTGTATTAAGCTTTATAAACAAAATTTTTGAAAATAAAATAAAAGTTCACTTTAAATAAAAAATTGTATTTTATTTTAATAAAATAAAGTATGTTCACTTTTATTTTATCTTCAAAAATTTCGTTTATAAAGCTTAATAAACAATTTTTTTAAATTTGTTTTTAAATAAAATAAAAGTGAACATAACACCTTGGTTCCTAACTCAAACTGGCAAAGTTTGACGTATTACACTAAAAACAGTGCAATTTGGGACAGTGGCAACACTGTAGTTCCTCCATTTAAATCCTTTCAAGTAATAATGATTTTAGGCGAGGCAATGCACCTCACCAAGAATCGATTGTTTTACATACATATAAATAGATCGTATTCGATAGTGGTTCGATGTATCGTTTGGTTCAAAAGACTAGATGATAACGTCAAACAGAGATTTTAGGATTTCAGTAAGAAAAGCTGAAAATTAGAGAATTCCTTGCAATTTCAATTTTCATTACCATTTTGTACTCATAAGAATTAAATACCCAACACAAGAAATCCGTTCCCTCAGATTACTCTATTGATTTTAAGGCTATGTTTATGTACATGTTAAACTAATCGATACAGTGGCGTGGCGTGAATGATCGATTATCGATGTTTCGCCATTTGAAGCTGTGGTAAAGAATCGATTGTTAAGGCGTTTGTTGCGAACACCCTGTTTATTGATCCTTTTTTATAGGTTTAAATGGTAGATCAATCGATATATCGCAAAGCACGCACCTCGCCACTGAATCGATATCGATACAATCTCACCTATTCGATGAATCGAATACGATCCATTGAGGAAAAACAATGTTGTTAACTTTTAAACATCGCCAATGGCTAAAAGGAATTGAGTATAATTAAATGAATAAAATCGAAAATTGTAACGAAACGCACAATGGTAAAAACTGGCGATAAGAGCTGAGTTTCAAAATACCATAGAAATTCTTATAGCCGGCTAAAGAAGGCTACAGAAAATCATATAGCTGGCTGTAGAATGCGGAGAAAATCGTACGGCCGGGCTATAAGAAGCGATAAAAAATTATGCAGCCGGGCTATAATTCCTATCGCTGGGCTTTACACTTTATCGCCTGGCTGTTGCTTTTTCGCCATCGATTATAAAAGGCTATAAGAAATTATGTAGATAAAAGGCTATAAGAAATTATGTAAATAAAAGGCTATAAGAAATTATATAGAAATTCCTGTGCTTTGGAAATCATTAAGTTTGATACAGAACCATCTTAATACGATATCTACAGAACACACGTCATGCTTTCCTTCAATACATATTTTTTTTCATCAATTAAAACGAGAATAATCCATACAGACAGGATGTGCAAACATTTCAAAATCATGAGTTGAATAACGCCGACTCCGCCAGATTAAATATTAGAGCCTAACACAAAGCGGAGCGGCGACGCACTGGCGCCTACAAACCTAACAGGGATACTTCACGCATTGCGCAACGCGTGAAGTATCCCTGTTAGGTTTGAAGGCGCCAATGCGCGTTTAGCGCTGGCTGCCCGCCTGCCGCACCGCAGCGTGCCACGGCGCTTGAAGCAACTATTTCACATCAGAGGTATTGCATAGTATCATACGAAACTGAAGGCGCTCTAATATATTAGGAATGGAAGGCATCCATCAAAAGTACGGAGCTTTCCTCGCAAAATAAATCAAGATACTACGGCCCAAAAAGAGAGCAGTGATCCAAAAACTCACTAAGTCCTAGCATCCGTAATTAGTGACGTTTAGCATACACTTTATCGCCTGGCTGTGAGTTGTTTAATCGCCATCGGCTATAAAAGGCTATAAGAAATTGTGTAGCCGGCTATAGAAGCTATTGGAAATCTTACAGCCGGCCGTAGGTCTATGGTATTTTGGAACACAGATTCTACTGCCAATTTTTACCAGGGAAATCCCAATGTGTACGTAGTTCCTTTTGCCATTAAGTTAGTTAGTTAGTCAATTTCTTTATAGACATTCAGTATTGCGTCCACTCAGGAAATATGGAATGAATGTATGGATCTGGATTTTCCGAGAATAACTTCTGAAAAACATTTTAGTACTGTGAGTCCTTTATACTTAAAGCCAACATTTTTAGCCAACAATATACCGAAACTATTGACTATAGTGGATATAAGCGTTTGTAAGGAAATATTTGTTTATCTTTTTCTTGAAATTTTGATCGATCTTACCTTCGAAAAATGAACTACAGCTTCTCCGACGTGACCGCCCCAGTCCTTGAAATAAGTCTACATGTTCTCTCGGAAAATCAGGAAAATTAACAGATGCGCATCTCGAGGAAAAATGTTCAAAATATATGAGGTTACCTAAACGTCTGCCGAATAGGAAACAAGTTCCTTGATGCGCACTCGGTGTACATCCATAAAGATAAGTATCTCAATTACGTAAACAAGTCTTCCTAATTATCAATGAAAATTTAACATTAAATTATTAATTAAAATTAGAAGCGGAATTTTGGCTTCTTACTCATTTTTTGTGCATGAATGCACGACTTCAACTTTTCTTGCCCTCTATTAAGCTTGGGGGTCCTCTTCAAGGCATTTAAAAAGGGCCTTCCTCTCATCCAAACGGTTCAAATAACCCCTTTTAAAACAATTTAAAGGGGACCCTTGCAAGTCTCTTAAAATACGTCGGTATAGGCATAGGGCCCGCGCAGGACTTCTTATCAAGGCATATACACATCCAAGAGGCTCCTAAATGGCTTTGTAGTGAAGCCAAAAAAACTTTCCATAAAAAATCAAAGAAATTTCCGTGGGCCTCTTGAAACAGGTCTCCAAAGAGTTTACATTGAAGGAAAGAAACGGGCAAAAGGGGGCCTCTCATCATAGAGGAAAAAAAGGAGGTGTTAGCATTTCGGGCATCTTGGAATTTTTTTGATGACGTAGGTCGGCACAGTGACTTTTATAATCGATTTTCTTGAAAATGGTGTAATTTATGGAAAGAAGGCATTCTATAAAAGTGCTTGAAATTATATCATGAGTTGATTTAAGCAAAAAAATGGGACATTATGGTCTGGTTTTCATACTTCGAATTCCGGATTTCCTTGGCTAGGTTGTACCGACCTACGTCACAGGGTAAACAAACCTCAAGATGCAAACACCTCCTTTTTCCTCTATGGCCTTCCATTTCCCGACTGGCATAATCTAGGGCTGACCCGGACAAAAGAAGTCCCTGCGGAACCCTTTTTGGCCAGACCAGGCGCGGGCCATTGCCCACCGGCTCCCCTTCCCTAGCCAGTCGGCCCCCGTGACTAGATACAAATATTTTTACGTCACAAAACTTACCTTGTATGAAATATTTGTAGCTTTAGATTACGGCGCGGAGGAACACATTTCAATTAAATTTAAATGCATGAGAAGTTAAAAATTATCCTACTAATTTTTTGAAATTCCAACAAAAGAAGTAACCCCGGACAAAAAAGCGATTTCTGGCAGATTTTGCATGACAATGCGAGAATTTTTTTTCTTCAAAACCAACTCTTGGAAAATTAGCACATAATTCAAAACACACTCACTGCTTGAGCTGTGCACATTTTATCCCCAACACTCCTCACAAAAAAAAAAAAAAAAAAAAAAAAAAAAAAAAAAAAAAAACACACACTAGTTTCGGAACAAAATACTACAATAAATGCCGGCTTGCAATTTGCGATCAGTTCACAGTCTTAGATAATGGATTTACACCTAAATCAATCATTAAAATTAACGACGATAGGTCTTGATCGGAGCTTGAATACTATCAGTGATTATTGACATTGCGGATAAGTTTTTAGGGCGCGAGGCAAAAAATTGAGGTAGGGCTAAGCAGGCGTGGTCACGGTCTCGCGAAGTGGATCACCTCCTCGTTTTGGCATAATTTGGCACGCGCTGATGCCACATTAGACGGCGAACCATTCAATTTTACGCCGTTAAATCTACTTTATTCACACAAACAAAATCTGGCAAATGAAGTGCACTAAACCGAGAGAATGTATGATGGACTATTTTCTAAAATTATGATGAACAGTATGAATTTGACTGAGATTACTGGTTACATCAAACGGATTGTTGGCTAAACTTCATGAGTTTGTTAGAAAAATACTATCAATTTTAATTGTGCAGTTTGACACAAGGGAAGTGCGTGACATCGGCTATCCCCAAATCTCGTCGAACAATTTATTTTACCGACAGAAGTGCAGCTTTCAGCTTTGTTCGAAATTTTCAGAGTTATTTTGTTCCATACGCAACTTTTTTTTGAAACTGTCAAAGGAATCTCACACCCGTTCTCTTGTGATTAAAATTTTCAAGTGAGATTTGGCAGCAGCTGATGTCACTAGGCTCCTTTTTGCTGTGTGATACTCAGTCGTGTTTATTTTTTCAGAATAAATTGAGCCGTTAGAAGCAAAAATCATGTATCTTGTTGCATGCGACGTCTTACAATTTCCGTGAATTTATTTTAAATTTCCTACGAGCAGTTATTTTACGATTCAGTTGTAGACTCCAATGACTTCATTTGGAAAAGTTGCTGAGTATGCGAGACAAAGGAGCGAGATGGGGTTTTAAACTAATTGCCTCCAAAGGAGGACGAAAAGAGGACATACCCAAGTAGCAGTGATCACGATAAATAGCGATTTCATCGGTTAGTTATCGCGATTATTTCGGTGGCAATATATTGAGATATTATCGCATTAAAAGTTGCTAAATGGCGATTTAATCGCTACAGATTTCAATTTTTGTCGATAAAATCGACATCTACCTCGATTTTTATTTCGAAAATATCGCGATAAATTGTTAGGTGATAAAAGTACGATTTTATCGCGATATGATCGATGATAATCGCTCAGATATGTTGATGATTCTGGCGATAAAATCGTAATATATAGCGATTATTTCGTTGAGAAATGCTACTTGGGTAGCTAGAAAATCATCTTAAAATTATTTCACACAATAAAAAAATGGTGGGTATTTTAAGACTAAATAATATCTTTTAACATTTTTCTATGAACTATTTTTCTTAAATTTTACCTTCCATAAATTTCGCTTTAAAAGATACCATTTTCAAGGGTTTCCTTCTTCGTAAATTTGAACACTTTTTTGAGGGTTGTCTTTTTAGGATTGTCAGTGGTGCACAAATGTATCAATCTATGTTAAGCCTCCTAAAGGAGCCTCTCATTTCATCAGGATTGTAAGGACCGGTTTTTATAGATGTATCCGCGCACACGTTGTCTTGCTCAAGGAACCATGCTCTGTGTTTCTCCAGTATTTGTTGGCAGTGATCTGAAACATTCATTAAGGAAATGACTTGAAATGTAAATACTTATTTTTGGTCCGGTTAGAGCGCATCTATGTAGGGAGAGTATGATCGTTCACCACTTCTGGGCTGCTTCTTGATTGGTCACCACAACGCATCCATCTCTCGAATTTTCGTAAAGTAATGCCCATTTTTCGGAATGTGAATATTACTGCAGTTTGGAAAACTCTCCGGCAGAACAAGTCACCAATCTAGGTGAAATTTTATCAGAGAGCATACAGCATACCGGCCAGCAGCGGGGTGATTTTTGAAATTGATAGATAACGCTTTAGGCAAAGAAGACAAAAGGAATATGGAGATATCCTGTTGGTGGAAGCAGGTGGTTACAATGGACGTATGAGATATAGGCAACAGACTAACTAGCGGTAACCTACGATAGAACCAGTAGTTAGTCCATCATTTTCTTTTTTAGTCTATGAGAACCACCCATTTCAACCTATGAGATCCCTCCATACTCTCTATGTCTCCTTTGTCTATAGCTTTGTCTATCAATTTCAAACAATCAGCGGGATCGAGACCCGACCTCGCCAGCGCTCCTGCAGACCAGGAAGGCTGTCAAGTTGTGTGTATCGGATCGGTTCAATGAGAGCAATCGGACGTATTTCTATCAAACTGAACTATGTGCATTAAGACATGAGCCCTGAGACACATAAGAATACACGCATAACGGGGCTCACGTCATAATGCACATAGTTCCGTTTAATAGAAATACGTCCAATGGTAGGTTGTTTCTCGTCAGGTGGGTTACCGAGCATGCTGCCGTGTTAAGGAAAAACGCTGTATATAAACCTTCAAGCGTTATCAAATCTCCTTCGGTAAATCACGAACTTTTAGGATAATCTGTAAATATATTTCATCCAATTTTTCGGATAATGTTGATCGCAATTTCAACTTAAGTTCCTAAAAATTTCAAGGAAAACTGGACATATTTATGCCAAATGGAACTATGTGTAAATGAAAAGATGGGGTGTGCTCGTCAGTCAAGGGCCTTAAGAATGAAATAGAATTATAAAGCACCAGTGACGTCATCAGCGGCGGTGACGGGAACGAGGATCTCAACATCGGGAGGCTTTAACTCATGAGCTCTGTCCACGAGGCTCTTGTCACATGCCCACGGCTCATGAGTGCCGCATTCAGATGGAAGTATTTCTGCCAAACGGAACTATGTGCATTGAGACATGAGTCCTGAGACCTATAAGAATACACACATAACGGGGCTCACGTCATGATGCACATAGTTCCGTTTGATAGAAATACGTCCAGATGGCACATAGTTCCGTTTGATAGAATGTGAAATCCTACTTTCCCATTTCTCCAAAAGGAATCACAGCCACGTAAACATTGTTTCTTAGATTATTAGAGCTCACCCCATCTTTCCCACTCGTACCTAAATAGTTCCGTTTGACAGAAGAACGTCCAAATATAGCATACGAGCGATTCAGGTAGTTACAATTTCCACAGAAAGCGTAAACCTTTCACAACAAACAATATCATTTTACTTGGCCTTTCCAACGGATACATTTCGTTGCCCACCTAATATAAAGAACTACACTTCGACGTATTTCTGCCCGACGGAACTATGGGCATTCAGACATGAGCCCTGAGACTCGTAAGAATACATGCATAACAGGGCTCACGTTATGATGCACATAGTTCCGTTCGGCGGAAATACGTCCACTTGGCAATGAACCCTATCGTCCGTGTGATTCAATGCCTTCCAGAGCTCATCTCTAAGTGTATTCACGCCTTTATGTCAGCCGAGAAACGATTTAGAGGGGCAAAAAGCTCAAAAAGATTCTAAAAAAATTGAGAAGAAAAAACTTACCGTCAACTTCAGCCAAACTAGGGCCATTACCCCCATAATCCCTGACCAGAACCTCGTGATCCAGCGATTTCATGATGAGTTCATCCCCCATCGCGTGAACCTGAACCCGGTTCCCCATCTTGGCCGGCAGGTAGCGCTTCACCAGCTCCACCATCTTATAAACGAAGGGAGGCGCGTTGATCAAATGAAACGCCTTCACTCTCTCGGTATAGGCACCATTGAGAATGATCCCGAGCGAACCTACATGTGGCGGCATCTTCAGGATATGCCGGTAATTGAGGTGCTGGCAATCGGTGATCACAATGCAGGGCCGAAGTCTGAATTTCTCCAAATGCATAGCGTCCGCTAGCATTAATACCCTCTTCGCGTAGCTTCTCCAGTCCAGGGCTTCAGGATCGGCGCTGAATTTGTTGTAGATCATGGTGTACCCGTCGGAGGTTCTCTCGAGGGATATGCACGTCATCAGGGCCTCCCTTGCTTGCTGGAGGGCCGGGGAGCGGGGGTCCCTGTTTTTCATGATGTCGGGGTACTCGTTTTTCAGGGTGTAGTACGCGGCTAACTTGGCTTTGGTCTTCTCTAAACTGAATTTGTTGTTGTAGAAGAAGGTTTTCAACCACTCCTCGTCTTCGATGGTCGGGAGGTGGGGCTCTTTCGCCATCCATTCTTTGAGGTGTTTCACGCTCTCTTCGATTATGTCCGGGGATGGCTCCAGTTTATCGCAACTCATGGTTTTGCACTGAAAAAAAGATCTCGGTGTATTTACTAAGAAAAGGGTAAAATTACCAAGAATTCAGGGTTCTATTTGATCCCAGTTTTTTCTTGGTAAAATTACCATGAATGGAATTGGTAATTTTACCGAGAAATCTCGGTAAGATTATTGACTTTCTCGGTAATTTTACTGGACCCCGATAAAAACGCCAATATTTTGTTATCGACTGTGGTAGAATTACCGAGATAAAATGGCAAAGTTACCGGGATTGATTACCAATAAAAGTGGTATTCTTACCTGAAAAAGCAGTAAAAATACCGGTTTTTAGGTATGCGTACCGTCTGTCTTGGTAAAATTACCAATAATTGGTAAAAAAAGTGAGATGGTAGAGGTACCGACGGACTTTGGTAAAAACGCCGAGAATTTTTTTTCAGTGTGGTTCGGGATCCAGGGTAAAGTTACCTGGAAAGTATTGTAGGTGAGCGCGAGCTTTTAAACCTAACTAACTTAACCTAGAGGTAAGTTTATTAACTCGAGGTACATATATAATAGAATATTTTGGTTGTAGACTATTAGTAAGACTCGCTTTACTTGAAATAATAATATCTCATTTTTTCAAGAACTGCACTTATGCACCTCGTCCTCTAAGCCCCTCATTTACATTTCTTGAAAAGTTACTTTCTTTCGGATTGAAGGTGCTGTTTGTATTAGTGCGAGAATCCGGAACATCAACGGCTCAGATGAGAAAATACGCGTCGTCATAGCAATTTTTGAAAATCTCCGATCCATTTATATTTTTTAAAAGAGAACGAATAAACATAAAAAGAACGTTGATTTGTCCATTTTTAAATATACTAATCGTGAGCGCAGATTTGCAACGGCCAGATCGACGATGATTTGTAAACAAGTGAACCTGTATTCAATCAAGGAGTTACCGAAAATTTTGGATGATGCGACTCAATTTTAATCTCTGCTGCAGAAAAATAAGTCGTATTTGGGCAGCAATTCTCGAAAACTCCTCTAACATGTGGATTTGAGCGTCAGGAATTAAATCACTGGTGAGAGCAAATGGAATTCACAAGATTTTGTGGAAATTTTTGGGTCGTTGTGAAACACTATGAGTTGTTTCGAAAAAATCTTGTGGACGGCATTGATTCAGGTTCCTCTATTTCCACTGAAAAAATTATGGTAAAATCTGCTGTAAGTCTACTTGATTTTTTACACGGAGATGTAATATTTAATAGAAATTAATAGAATTATGGCAGTATCCACCAGAACTCTGGTGATAGTTATCATAGTATGGTAAATTCTGTCATAGAGGCTGGTGTTCATTACCGTATTCAGATCACTGTATCAGAGTATGGTAAAATTCACTAAATTTTTCTTAGTGTAAGCTTAAAAGTTCGGGCATAAAGATTTTTAGTGTATTTTTTAATTTTAAAACCAGGTGAATGTGTCAAAAGATGAACATTACTCACCTGCATATAAATCGGGGTAAAGCACAGATTTTTTTAGTTTTTCATTGAAAGCATGGTAAATGCACCAATGCGTTTCTTTGTCACACCAATGCACTCGATGAACTTTATTAAAATCACTCTGTCAGACGGACCTGCGTTTTCTACCCAATGCAGGACAAAGTCGTCTCGTCTCTTTCAAACTTACACGGAAGTAAGAAAACCCTCTAGTTTTGCGATGTCTGTAACTATAAATATTATTTTATCTAAAATAAACCGATGGATTAGGTAGAATGCGTAATATGGTAAGGATCCTAACGGATACATTACCATAATTAAGCCAGCATGCAATTAGATGCACCGCCATGCAGGTACGTCTATTTGTTACGTGATATTTTTTCGCATTTAATTTCGCAGTTTATTGGTGTCAAATTAAAATGCGGTAAATTTTAAATTCACCGCAGACTTGAACACTTAAAAAAATAAAACACATTTATTTACATGTGAGTTATGAGCATACAGATTTCACTCAGATCACAGATCAACGTGTATATTTAGATGATGGATCTAATAACATTATCAGCTTTCAGAGAGATCAAGTATCTCAGTGCTTCAATTTTATTTGGAAAGGATTGTTTTTTTTTGGGGGGGGGGTGGGAGATTATTTGAACTCAGACATAACTTACACACTTTTTATTTCTTCTTTTAATACTTTATTTTTCATTTTTTTTTATTTAATCAAACAATTTTAGACGTAATAGATCGCGTGCATTTTATTATTAGTCGATATCCAGTCGTTTAAAAGAGCCGTTCATATCATCTGTTTTCCATTGAAAGCCATCTGCACACACATTGTCTTGTTCGAGGAACCAATTTCTATGCTTTTCCAAGAGTTTTTGGCATTGTTCTGTAACAGTAACAGAAAATAACAGATGTTTTAACATTTTTCAAGGTGACGTGCTTTTGATTCATATTATAACTATACTAAATGTGGATAGTTTTGCGACTTCAGCCAGAATTATATGAATGATGATTGCTTTACGAGAGAAAGATTTTAAAGGTTTGTTGTAGTTGAAATTTTTTCGTAAATAATGCATTTTGCAAGGGAAACAAAAGAAGTAGGAAAAATGTAGCAGTCAACTATCCTAGAGACAGTTTGACAAACGTAAGTAATCAAGTTACCTAAGTTCCTCATTTATTCTATTTTATACAGGAAAAATGAGTCGTTTAACAGATTGAAACTTTCCTTGAATTATTTTTCTAAGAGGACGAGGAATATGCTAACACAATTTTAGGGCAGAATTATCTATCGCAGTTGTTTGTACAAAAATAAAACATGAGATGAAATCAGGCAAAGTCTGATGCGGTCAGGCTGATTCGAATTACTTCCACCCAAGTGAGCTCTATTTTTCATATAGATTCTTGCTTTCGGCCTTGTCTCCACGGGCCTTTTCACGAGATTTGTCCCAGAGAAAAATCCCACTTACGAAGTTGGGAAAAATATTGAGTTAATCAATATTTTCCCCAGTACCAAGTATGGTCCTTATACTCCAAGGACCCACTGAGAGAGGAAGAAGAAGTGTAAACAAATTGTGCGATATTTTGTTGAATACTCCATCCTTCATGTTTGTTTAGTTAAAATAATGTGTCTAATTGTCAATTGAGTGGAATTATTATTTTAATCCCGGTTAAATACTCGATTTTATCTCGACGAGATATGAATATGGGCAGAAATCGACGCGGTATGGATTATAACGCCTTGATGCAACTATTCGTGTTCAAGAGATGTCCTTAATGCATACATGAAAAATTGAAGGCGCCCCGTGGGAACTTAACACGATGAGCGTGTGTCGAAGCCGGCTTGACCCATTTTTTCTGCCGTGTTACCGAAGAGAGTATATTTTCGAGATGGAGTTTTCTTCAAAATTCCACGGATCTAGTCTTAATGAACAGACGATCCCGCTAAATCAACAGAATTGGCCTAGTTAAGTTAAAGGTAAAATTCTTCTGTCTTTACCACTCGATGAATTCCATGGCTAAAATATGATAATGCGTATCTTCGATTGCGACGTTGCCAACCGTCGCTCATGTTTTATTGTTTTTATTTAGTAGTTTTTTCTTCTTCCTCTTCTCTTTTGAAAAAAAACCAGTCAATATTTTTGATTGAAATTATTATTTGTGAATTTTCTTCTTTCAATCAGAAATATTTACAGGGAATTTCAAGGAGAACTTTTGATCACTCTTCTTTTAAATAAATAAAATAAAATTGGACATTCTGAACCGTTGCGGTAGCGTTGCAAAATTGTTTACTTTAGCTACCGTAACATCAGTATTTTGAACAATTATCGAACATTTTATAAAAACGGGAGACTTCAATCTATAAAATTTTTCGCTCATTTTCCTTTACTTCCACCACTACTTCCTTCATTTTCTAAAAACTGAATTTTTTAAACTCTTTTTTTCTGGTAACACGGCATATGATTATGTATTCACATTTTACGCGGACTGTGACAATCGTTGCTATTACAGAAAAATTGACAATTGCTGATATAACAGAAAAATATTACCGTCCAATTCGGCCAAGCTGGGTCCATCGCCACCGAAATCGCTAGCTAGGACCTTCCGGTCAGTCGTGTTGATGATGGATTCACTTCCAGCAGTGTGCACGAACAGCCTTTTGCTCAATTTCTCCGGCAAGTATCGCTTTACCAGCTCAATCGACCTCCGCAAAAATGGAGGCGCACTGATAAAATGAATCTGAAATTCAGCGGAAGTGAGTTAATTAATCCTCAATACACAAATAGAGGTAGATGCACCGGCGGGCTGATTATTGAAATTGACAGACAAAGAAATAGACAAAGAAGACATAGGGAATATTGAGCGATCCCATTGGTGAAATTGGTGATTCCTGCATACTAAGGGAGAAAAAGATGGGCTAACTATAGGGTCTCTCGCGGGTTGCCATCAGTTAGTTAATTACCTACCTCTTGCCAAATGTGGCATTAAAATTTAATTACCTACCTACTCTGGGCATTGCAACCACCCGCTTCCACCAACAGGCTCCCTCCACATCTCTTTTGTCCTCTTTGTCTATAGATTTTTCTGCCAATTTCAACAGTAAGCCCGCAGGTGCCCGTCACTAAAAATATTGTTTACGGGTGATTTCACGATAACAGGAATAGTTGGCATGCACTGAAAAAAAATTCTCCGCGTTTTTATCAAGGTCCGTTGGTACCTTTACCATCTCACTTTTTTTTTTACCAATTATTGGTAATTTTACCAAGACAGACTGGTAAGCTTACCTAAAAACCGGTATTTTTATTGTTTTTTTCAGGTAAGAATATCACTTTTATTGGTAATCAATTCCCGGTAACTTTGCCATTTTATCTCGGTAATTCTACCACAGTCGATAAAAAATATTGGCGTTTTTATCGGGGTCCAGTAAAATTACCGAGAAAGTCAATAATTTTACCGAGATTTCTCGGTAAAATTACCAATTCCATTCATGGTAATTTTACCAAGAAAAAACTGGGATTAAATAGAACCCTGAATTCTTGGTAATTTTACCCTTTTCTTAGTAAATACACCGAGATTTTTTTTTCAGTGTGTGCAACTTATTGTTTGTTTATCAACCCATTGATGCAGTTTTCTAACTAATCACTTGAATCGAACCTCGGCTATCCTTTCAGTGTACGCGTTGACCAGATTGACCATGCCCGGCATGGTGGGCACAGTCTTGAGCACATGCTTGTAGCTGAGGAACTGGCAATCAACAATGGCGGCAAAGCTAAAACGCCTGTGTTTCTCCAGATGCTGCGCGTCTGACATCATCGTGAGCCTCTTATAGATATCGTTCGTGTTGAACAGGTCCGGGTCCGGACCGAACTTCGCGTAGGATAGATAGTAGCCGTTTTGGGTCAATTCCCGGCAGTAGCAGACGATCATGGCCTTCCTCGCCCTCGCCGAGGCGGGGGTGGTAGGGTCTCGTTTCTTCATGATTTCAGGGTATTCGTTTTTTATCGAATAGTATAGGGCCAGCTTAGCTTTGGTTTTCTCCAGGCTGAATTTGTTGTTGTAGAAGTAGGTTTCCAACCAGTCTTCGTCTTCGACGTTTGGGAGGTGCGGGTCTTTCTCCAGCCATTCTTTTATGTGTTTTACGCTCTCGCGGATTATTGCGGGGGATGGCTCCATCATAGCGAACAAAATATTCTTGTTTAGTGTAAATTTTTGGTGCGGTACACCTGAAAAAGAGTGATGATAGGGGGCGTCAGACATGGAGTACATGTACATAGAGTCGTAATGTAAATGGGAGAGCTGGCGCCATGTTCTGCTCGACAAGTTCCAAGCCGGGTGTGCTCCGAGCTCGGGTCATTTTTTCGATACATGTTCGATCCGAAACAACGCGACGGAGTGTTATACGAGTGGTAATTCCTATCTCTTTTGTTTACATCGTATGGCCAGGTACCCATGTATCGCAAACATGCGATCATGTATCGAAAAAGTGACCCGGCGTCACACAGGAGTCTCGGAATACGGGACCTGGAAAATACTGAAAAGTGGCGCCAGCTCTTCCAATTCCATTACGACTCTATGTATACTCTATGGCGTCAGATCATGGGAGTTGAAAATGACATTGTGTTCGACGTTATGACCGAACAGCTTGTCTAGCACGGTCATGTTAATAGGATGACGGAGGAGTGCTGCCAAGAAGACTCGGTTCCTCCTGGGAGGAGACGTACTAGAGAAATGTTTTAAATGAAATGTGGGAGTGCTAACTCCCTGACGGGTTGTGGGAGGACCGAGTTTTGTGGCCGCCGGTTAGGTGTCGCAGAGCGCCGGAGAGCTCTATGAGAGGGACTCTTATGTATGCAAACCTGAAAAAGTCTCGCTGAGGATCATTCAGGAACTGGTGTAACCTCGAGTCATTGTCATCAAAGTCAATTTCGATGGTTTTGCGGGAGGTTTTCGACACACTGACAGATGAAGTGGCTTGGAGGATAACGCGCATAAGTGCAGTTTTTGAAAAAATGGGGATATTAATAATTTCAAGTAAAACTAGTCTTAATGCATATTTTGTGAAAATTCGCTCTCAAATTCCAATTTTTAAGCATCAAAAAGTCAGTTTGAACTTTTTTTCCGCCGTAAGGATCCATGTAATTTTGAAACCTCAAATACGTATTTCTTGAAAAAGCAAAAACTGCGCTTTTGCGCCGGTTCCTCAAAGCCTCAGATCACGAAATAATATTCCAAATTTTACGAGAAAACCGCCTAATTACACAGTATATATCGGCGGTGAAACTACCAGACCACGTATCTCAGTTTATGACGTTGCAGACTTCCTGTCATACTTAATTTTTTAAATGGAACACTAATCAACGTCAATTCTTGAAACTTACGAGATCTTTCTTTTCTGTGAAGCGAAAACCTGTGAAAACTGTACGAGGTATTATATCGATTTCTTCTCTTTCAAAAAAATAAGATTGAAGCGGAGATTTTTAGAACCCTCAAACAAGATACGTGGTCTGGGAGTTTCACCGTCGATATTTCTGGCCCATTTTAGAAACAACATACATGACGTTGGTTTTCCTATGCAGATATGTGCTTTTATGGGAGAGCCAGAGATAGTTGTCCCTTATTGTAAAATGTAATCCTTTGTGTCCTAAATGTAATCTCTGAGGCCGTTTGAGCTCATTACCAACATTATTTTGATATCGAAAGAATATTTGAATTTATGTGAAGGGGAAAACACAATGTTTTTTTCGGAGGTTATCGGATAGTTTTGAAGTGAGTGGGATATGCAGATTGCTTCCTTACATAGTTTACAAGTTTTAATTTTTTTTTTAAGAAAAACATTGTAATCTAACGAATCAAAATCATTTTCAAGATAATAAATTTCAAAGATCTCTCAAAGTCATACGTTTTCTACTTGGTTCAATGGGAGGATACTGTTACTGAAGTGTTTTGAATATAATTAAATGAAATTAACACTTACCTGTATCACAAAGTATCTCTTGGAATCAAAGAAGTAATTTATCTGGTCCAAACTTGGAATTAAAACGAGATATCGATAAATATTGTTCGAAACATGTAAGTCCTAAGTGTCTACGTTTTTACAGGACCCATGCATTGAACTAAAGTTAAGAAACGTGAAGGCATCAATATTCGTTTGTCGAAATCCTGACCTTAGCTCTGGCGTCAACAGTTGACGAAGGTTGACGACGTTTCGTGTAATTATTTGCAAGAGTTGCAGAACCGGAAGTGTCCCAGAATAATCAGATCCGGAAACAAAATTATTCAGCGGAAATATTTATTGTCGCTTCTGCCACGAACAGTTTTCAGAGCTGCGATTACTTGCTAAGGTTTTTCTCTATTTAGTCACCTCTGTTGATACGTGTAAAAAAAATGTATGTGCGCATGCGCGTTTGGAAAACCATTAAGTGTGTGCTTGATACTGTCTCCAATTTGTTTTATTTTTGGCTTTATTTTTGGTTCTTTTGTTGTTAGTTTTCTTTCTTCATTTTGAAGCTACTCCTTAACGAGCTCAGCATACCATCGAACTCTTTCTCTACATCAGAAAGTCGTGTATTGTGTAATTTTCTTTGCATTGATGAAACAATTTCTGAGAATTCGAAACTTCGTAATGTAGTAAAATGTTTTTCGACAATCATCATCGGACCGATGGCAACTCCTCCAAAATGGTAACACTGTTAATACTCCATTTAAATGCATTGAATTTACGATTCTAGGTGAGACAGGCTGCCTCACTTAGATTGTTTAACATACATTTAAATGGGGAACAACAGTGTTACCAACTTGCAAGAATCGCCACTGCATCAAAATACCTTAAAGTGTGTAATCTGAGTGCAAAAATTTTCAAGTAACGACCTAAATAAACGTTACGCCAATTGTCCAATATGTGCCAGCAGGCCGATTATTAAACCTATTTCAGCACGACAAGACAAGACATATACTGCTGTGCTAAGGAAAAACGCCGTATGAACATTCGAGAGTTGCCAAATTTCTCCAGATAAAACAAGTATTTTTGAGAAACGTTATTGATATATCTACTTGAAATTTTCATATATTTTAGATAAAAATGCGAACAAAATTGTCTGAAAAATTTAACGAAGAATATTCCCAATTTTCCAAGAAAATTCTTGATTTATTGAAGTGAATCTGGGAACGTCTGAAGGCTCATACGGCGTTTTTCCTTAAAACGGCAGTATAGTAGCCCTATCTTGACTATGCAATTTAACGCATTCCGCTGTCTTATCAGGCTCCTTTAATCTTTCAATAATCGACCCGCAGTACTAATCTGAGATCTTTCAAGTTATATACTCGTATGTAAAGTAGACAAACCAATACAACCCTACAGAACCAACGAGCCAATGTCGACTGAATATGTGCGGAGTTTCAAGAGAATACAATCTATACTCATAAAATATTAATTGATATATTTGTACAATATGTAGTATTTACAAAACATTGACTTTCATTTTCATGTAAAACTCGTATTTGAACTACAAAAACTACAACACATAATAGTGAAAAGTTCTAAACTCAGAAAAATCCTGAGGGAGCATGCAGCCCAGTGTCATAGCACACAGTCTTTAAAAAAAAGTATTTTTACTACCACTTCACAACTTTGATACGTGACAATTTGTATGTCCCTGGAAAGAACCCAAAGCTTTCCCCTGTCAGTTCGCCATAGAGACCATTGATGTCAATCGCAGATTATTTTATTTTATTTTCCAATTATTTGTAACTACTCTACTGACTCAAGGAAGATAAAGCTAGAGTACCTACTTAGCGAGAGTATGGACAGATCGCTTCATGGAGGGCTTAGGGCCCAAAAGTGCAGCCACCTTTCTAACCAACTTCTAACGCACAAAATTTCACTGCCAGTTTACAGATTCCAATTCTAACCAAGATGGCTAAGAATGTACATAAATGAGCATTCTTCTCAGAGACAAGAGACTCTCCACTGGCTTTCTAGCGACAGGCGGAAGCTTTTGCTTTCGGGGTTTCAACAATTCCTTATGGACAGTTATTAGGGAGCAACAGTCATCACCTTAATTTCGGCTGTTGACCTACCTATATGGTCGATGATGAGCTTCAGGTGCCGTCATGAGCCAAACAAGTTTCCCAAACGTTGGCCATTTTCGGCTTGTTTGCAAAACGAAACTGCCAACACGTTGTTGAATATCAACCATGTAGGTAAGAGTTTCAGGACATTTTGTCGACGATTTTTTGTTCGCGCACCTTTTTTGTCCAGTAGTTTACGCCCACACGTAAAATAAGCAACAGTGACTTGGTCCAAGCGTTTTATTTTAGTCGGTATGTAAAATTATATTGACAATATGGAAATGAGAAATTGAGAGGGAAGGAGGTGTTGTTGTGGTTGCTCATTTTCTAAATGAAATCTTACTTTCTCCTTTTGAGTCATCTTTTTGAATTGTCATTGGTGAATATTTGGTTTTATCTCTATCCTTAAAATATTCGATGTGCAATATACTTTATATATGTATGGGTACTTTTTTTTATTGTTTTAATTTTTTCTTTACGAAATTATTACTTCATTTTGAAAACACTTATATTTTTAAAAAGTGACAAATATTTGTAAAACCTTTTCCAAGCAAAATCAATCTCAATGAGCCGCAGTTGTGCCGAAAGAAACTGCAAAAATGAATAAAAGAGGGAAAAAAAACCAAGGAGCACGCAATCTTTAGTTTTAATCCATTTGTACATCGATCTTTTAGAGTCAAATACGTCAAATTTTGAGCGTTTGGTTGCGCGTACACCTCGCTGAAGCACAATAAAAGCACAAAATGTAAAAGAAAAAATTAAAGTTCTTTGGAAATCATTGAAGACACGGAACCACCAATATTTAAGAAAAACACACATTATATTATTATTCTCCTTTGGTAAATTGATGCATATTTTTCTTTCATCAATTTAAATGAGAATAATCAATGCAGAGTGTGCAAACATTTCAAAATCATGAGTTAAAAAACACTGACTATGCGAGTAAAAATATTAAAGCCTAACAGAGCGGAGCGGCGCGGCGCGGCGTGCTGCCAGCGTGAGAGGCTCACTGGCACCTACAAACCTAAATGGATACTCCACGCATTGCACAATGCTTGAAGTATCCACTTAGGTTTGTAGGCGCCAATGCGCGTATCGCGCTGGCCGCCCGCCCGCCGTGCGGCGGCGCCTGAAGCAACCATTTCACAACAGAGGTGTTGCACAGTATTATACGAAATTGAACGTATTAAGAATGACAGGCATCCTTTAAAAAACAGATTTTTCCTCGCAAAATAAATCAAGATACTTATCGTACACAGGAAAAATCTAAGAGCCTTTAGCTGAGGCAAATCAAGAGGTCCAACCGGTTTAGGTATAATGAGGTGGGAATTTCTTGAAAGATAATTGGACGGAGTTAAACAGAAAGGAACCAAGCCACATCGGGATCGAACCGAGAAAAAGAGGTTTAAAGTTTGGCTCCTGCATAAGACTCAGTTTATAAAAGATAAACTTAAAGTTCAATTTCCGCAAAATTTGCTCCGACAAAAACTTTGAATTTTTGGCGACGGATAGTAGAGCAGTGGTTGAGTTCAAAACCACTCATAACTCAATTTTTTCCAAAATGTGGCTTGGTTCCTTTCTGCTTAACCCAGTCCAATTAAGTCCTGTTGCACCAAAGAGGTGTAGAGAGTTTTAGTGAATTTTGTCCCCAACCCAACAACAACAACAAAAAGAAAAAAACAGCAAACTCTCATTCTTCCAAGACATTACATTTTCATCCAAAAACGTCGTGAGCGATAGTCGTTTGTATTTACATGTTGACCAATTAACTTTGGGTCTCAACTGGCACGTGGACCAAAAATACGGTGCGCCGAAAAAACGCGTGGACGTAAATTACTGGAAAAAACAGGTAAGCGGACAAAAAATCGTTGACGAAATGTATTATAACCTAGGCAAGTCAACAGTAGAATGCTGTAGTCTCGAAAGTAAAAGCTTCCACAAAGGCCAAGATACTAGTAAAGGGTCTCTTGTCTCTGGTTCTTCCGCAAAAATGAGTAAATTTATGCAATAACTAAGTCAAATACGTGCTTTATAAACGATGGTTCGTAACAATTGTATTAGTAAATCGCTCTGGATAATCGAAATTCATAGTTTGGCTGCATTTCTGGGTCCTAACTTTATTCGTGGAGGCATCGGTGAAGGCCTGATGGATTTTCGGAGTTTCAAATCTGTCTGTACTCTCCCTATACAGGTACTCTAGATAAAGCCGCAGAGAACGATAACATGGCCTCCTTCAATAATATAGTTTTGAAAAAATTGATGTATTTTGTTTTTATGTGACGTAACTGTACTTGGGTCTATCGAAGTGCGTGATTGCTGCACTGAGAAAAAACCATGGTTATAATTACCATATTAGTGGTGTTCAATATGCACTCTTAATTAGTAGTGGCCATAACCAATAATAGTGAGATTTTTAACGGAGCAATCGTAATTTTACAAGTTTGCGGTAGTAAAATTACTTTTGATGGTAAAAATATCTCTATTATTGGTTATGGCAACTACTATTTAAAAGTTCATATTGAGCACCACTATTATGGTAATTATAACCATAATTTTTTCTCAGTGTGGGTGACTCTGGCTTGTTTCGTTCTTGCTTTCTTTTTCCAGTATGCGAAGCCGACAATACGGATCAATCGATGCTCAGCTGCGTGAAAGAGCCTTTCATTTCCTCAAGTTTTTCATCACTGTTCTTCCATCGATAGCCAACCGTTGCGCATACCTCATCTTGTTGAAGGAACCACGCTCTGTGCTTTTCCAGCATTTTTTGACAACGATCTAAAATTATTGCGGACACAGAAAAAATAAGAACATTACAACGTGAGGATAACAAAAGGGTGTAAAACAAAAAACAAAACGACTCATAACGAACAATATACATAGATGAAAAACATGGATGTTGTGGTGTTTGGTAAATGGGTGAGCATTACGACGCTGTATCGCTTTCGTTTCACAGCATGGTGATTCTTATAAGTTGGCAACACTGTATAGCCTCCATTTAAATGCACTAAAAATAAGCGATTCTAGGTGATACACACTGCATTGATATACATTCATTGTTTTACACACATTTGAATGGACGAAATCCAGTGTTCCCAACTACCAAGAAGTGCCGATAGATAGTGCCGATAGAAGTTGCATACAAGCAAAAGCGAGCCATCAAGAACCGGAGAAACGGGTGTTCGATTAAGTAAGCCTCATCTGCGGGCTGATTATTGAAATTGATAGACAAAGCCATAGATAAAGGAGACAATAGCGATTTGAAGAGATCAGGCCCGCCACAAGGGGGGGGATACTGGGTCCTTGGTACCGGGGCCCGGGCCCTGGAGGGGCCCGTGACGCAGGTGACAAACCACAACGAATTCATGTGTAACCCTTGTCTCGTAGGGAAAAGTGAAAAAATTACCCTAAAAATTCCGCAAAAGGTGAATAAAGTTTCAAAAACACGCTGGGGCACTATAAAATTTTTCTTACTTTTTTAGAGATTTTCAAGATTTTGAGTATATGTAGAATGATATTTTTAGTAACTGTGTTTTATTTTCTTCCGTCGTCGGATGCTAAGAGGCTCCTTTCTGGGCATCCTCGACTTCAATGGCTTAACTCCCTTGCCATAGACGTACGAAAGGGGAGTCCAGGGGGGCCCGGCTCCCCATAGAATTGAAAATTATCATCTGCCCCCTCAAAAAAAAATTCATAGTTGTTTTGAATGCAACAATTCGAAAGTTTTTGGTGCTGAAAGTAAACAAAAAGGCGTAATTATTCTGCAGAAATTGATGGAAAATCTCCATCATAAGAGCTTCATAATGCGTCCAAATAGATTTAAAATTTCAAAAATTTCCCGGGGGAGGCCCCCCGGCCCCCCCCCCCTGTGCTAGGGGCCCGGGCCAGAAAATTGGTACCAGGGCCCGAGATGGGATGTGGCGGGCCTGGAAGAGATCGTATTGGTGGAAGCGGGTGGTTGCAATGGACAAAAAAGGTAGGTAATAGACTAACTAACGGCAATCCGCGAAAGACCCGACAGTTAGTCTATCATTTTCTCTATTTGTCTATCGGAACCACCGATTTCAACCAATAGGATGGCTCCATACTCCCCATGTCTTCTTTGTCTATAGCTTTGTCCATAAATTTCAATGATCAGTCCGCTGGGAAGAAAGTAGGATGATTCTCCTTCATCACCTAGGATAGACAAAAACGGACTCCCTCGGGTCGTAGTACGAGATAATATTGCCGTTTCAATATATTTTATGGTGATGACGGTTTTTTTTCAAAAATCAACCTACCTGCATTCCGTGTTGCTTAATTGGATGTCGACGGTGAAACTACCAAACCACGTATCTCGGTTTGCGACGTCGCAGACTTCCTGTCATACTTTATTTTTTAAATGAAAAACTATTTAACATAAAATTTCTGTGATTTTTCCTCTTTGTGCGGAGAAAATTCCGTGAAAATTTCAAGGAATGATATTGATTTGGTCTACTTCAAACAAATAAAATGTGAGCGTAGATTTTTAAACACCGCAGACGAGATACGTGGTTTGGTAGTTTCACTGTCGATGTATAGCTTTTGAACGGAACTAAGCGCCAAATTGAGTTCCTTTTGAGGATTTCAGAATCTCGGATAGCGCGTTCTGTCGGACGGAACTAAACGCCATGGAAAAGCGTTGCGAGTATAGGACGGAACGAGCATCGCGTTCCGCAACACCCGCCGATCCAAGCCCCCCTCTCCCTTCCTCCCCCGATTGCGCTTAGTTCCGTTTGATAGAAATACGAGTAATTTAAACTAATTTTTTTTTCTTTTTTACCGAAGCACGGATCATACCTCTTTGAGACTGTCGGCCAATGGGTCTGTTGGACACAAGTTTCACAGATAAGTATAAGTGTATATTTTCCCGACTACAGCCGTGTAAAAATTACAATAGCACGTTGGAGAATTCGGAAGCCTTTCAATGCGCAATTCGCTTAGTCCGTACCTCGCATTTTCAACCTTCCGGATTCCGTAGGCATTTTTTTCTCAGTTTTTGATAGCCTAAAAAGAAGTGTAAAGAAATGCGGCACCATCGCAATAACATGTATGATTTTAGTCGTTTCAGAGTGTTTCTTTTCCTTCGTTTTACGTATAAGGAAAAAACCAATGCCCTAAAACTAAAGACATCACACGTGTGAAAGATTGATAACAGTTGACGAAATTATTTTATACTAGGGGCCTGTGGCCGCTACGAGTCCGCCACCCGCTTAAAAAAACTACACGTAAAGAGTTGTAATACAAACAAGATCAACTTATTTGGACGTATTTCTGTTAAACGGAACTAAGCGCCATAGGTTGAGGATGGAAGAGGGGGGGCTTGGATTGGCGGCGGAACCGGGCCCCGGGCTCATTCGTTCCTATACTCGCAATGCTTTTCCATGGCGCTTAGTTCCGTTTGACAGAACGCGCTATCCGGTATTCTAAATTCCTCAAAAGGAACTCAAATTGGCGCTTAGTTCCGTTTGACAGAAATGCATCCATTTAAGAGATGAATGGATTCAAAATCCGACGAGTACACGCGAGAGACAGCGTATTTCTCTAATAACGACGTTATGCACAACTTTTTACGTCCTATTTTTGGACACAGTTTTTAAAAAGCTACTTAAAGTTTTTATGAAGAGATCTCACGAATTTTCCTAAATGATCGCAAATATAACCATAAAAAATTTCGACGCGGTATTTTCGTTCATTCTATTTTCTTTTTATGTAACAAGAAAAAATTAATCCGCTTAAAAAAAATACAAATACCAATCATCCGAGTTTCTGAATCGTTACAATGAGGATGCATATTTTCCCTTTGCTTATGGTAAAAACCGGAGTCTAGTAAACAACATAACACACAACAGTATCATGATTTTCCAAATGTAACAACTTAGTCAAGTTATCCTTAATTTCACACATTAATATTTCTATTAAATACTCAGATTGAATAATTTTAATATGCGGATTAATTAATAATTGAAAATGAGAATGTTACTTTACCGTGTGCACAAGTCAAAGTAGTTCTATAATAAAGCAGAAGGCACTTGAAACCCATCCAATAACGAGCAAGAAAAACGCAAGCCTCAGATCAGTCAAAGTGAAAGGTCTAGCCTCATCGTTATTTTCCCTCGCTCGATATTTACTAAAATCCATTGGCGTAATGTGTGCAGCTTCCTGGTGTAAAATGCCCATCTCCATCCTACGGAATAATATATCATTCACAACCTCGTGGTAGAACCCATTCCGTGGCATGAAATACATGAACGGGTAGCTCAAAAGACGTTCACGCGCAATATGGAATTCGTACACTTTTTTTGTTGCGTGATCCATGTACACCAAGTCGTGCAATTCGGTATACTTTGTGGTCATCCTGGTGAAGAATGCATCGGATTTCAGCATAGTGTCAACCTCTCTCATGACTACATTCTTGTAGTCGGTATCAATCAGTGTTTGATTCAACCATGGATCATCATCATCAACATCAAAGAGGACAGGCCTATAATGTTGTTCGCATATAAACTTGAAACTGTCGGTTAGTTTATGTCTAATCCAACCGAATTCCGACTCATCACCAAGAAACTGCGCGTCGATTTCAATGCCGCTAGACTGCACCACAAAGTCGGATTCTTCAATTTCCTTGAACGTGTCGATATCCCTAAAGCGCACCCGTGAACTCAACAAACTGAACATTCCGCTCTGGAAAAGAGTGATAAGAACCATCATCGAGAATACGATGATGAGGAAAACTATTTTTCCCACCATCAACTCAACCAGAATCAACCGGGGCTGACCAATTCCCAGAGTATATCTATAGATCGTCATGAGGGTTGGAAATAACTCGTGGCCGGACGTGCTCTCTTCGGTGTCCGAACGGTAGAAAATGTTTATATACGTAATCACGAGAGTGTAATGGACCAGAGCGAGGATAAGGAGAGTCACAATAATGAATATCCAAACTGTGAGTGAGAAGCTGTAGAATGGAACCACATCTTGAGGCACGTAGCCTTTGCGCGGGAGTCTAAATGTAAGTTGACACGATTCTATAGTCGGAGAGATATCGAAGTCTCGCAGATTTGCTAGATTACCGAGTCCGGTTCCAGTGACGTGTAAATCCACCCCATACTTTAGCCCAAATTCTAGGTGTTCGAGGTGGGTTAAAGTGTCGAGTGGAGAAAATGGATCCTTTATAAAATGGACGTCTCCTGAAATTGGATACAAGCGGCAGTTACGACTTGTGGCTACTTGACTAAGTGCAAGTAAGAAAGGTACAACGAGGTTTGATGCGCAAACGTCGTGCACCATCCCGTCAAAATAAAATGGGTCGAGATCTACCATGGAATAGGTAAGTGGTTTATGATTCATCGAGTACCACGAAAAATCGAAAAACACATCCTCGCCACCTTTCACGTATTCCTGTATTTTCTCAAAGAATGGGTCATAGCGGTAACACGCCTCTCGTAAACAAATCAAAGTTTTTTGGCCTTTAAATATACGCCACATGAATCTGAACGCGAAACGCAGTGAACAATAAATTGGATTCACTGCTCCGTGAGAATTCTCCTCCAAGATTTGCGGAACTTGAAAAGCGCTCACCACGTAAAATATCAAATAATTTCTAGAATTCCACACGTTGTTCTGGGACAAACCACGAACATGTTCGAAAAGAGATTCGGATAAATGTGAGCCCTCTTGCAACTGAATATCGGAAATCGTGAAATTCTCGTCGCAAGGACTTGTCGGATTCATTAAAATTAATTTAAACTCCGTTTCGAGGTGGATACAGAATTTTGGCAGGTTGAGTGGCCCCTGCTTACCGTCCAATGACTTGGAGACATTTTTTGGAGCTCGGAGTGATGTGGTGGCAGTATCCACTTTCCCAAAATTTTGAGAGCCAAGAATGAGGTTAAGGATGTTGCTGAAATCATCGAGTATAAAAAGCATGGTTTTTGGCTCGGTTTCGGTAAACTGCGGCCCCATGGGCTGAACACTGTTCGCATGAAGGGTTGGTATGAGAGCGTTGTGCAGATTGAGAATCAGGGCTGTGGAGTCAAATCTAGGGTGGATGGTCGTAACGTGAATAAGCTTGTGATTTGATCTTTCTAACACCAGAGGACATATCTTGGTGAGGAGGTTGATATGATTTTTCAGAGCAGGTGTCGATGAATGTGAAAGAAGCGCTACCTCTCCGGGCCCAAAACATAAGACTGTTATAAGAAGATTATGCCTACACCCGAAAAGCGACATTTACGTGGTAACTCGATCACAGTCTTCACAATTTTTTCTCGATTGGATTTCGTTAGAATGAAATTCAAAGAAAATGCAAGCAAAAATATGTCTCATCATGTTGTATGACCACGTACATTAGAGTCTCCCTTATCCGCGATGATTGGAACCAAGACTATTGCGGATAATACGAAATTGAGCTATCAAACCGAGTAAAGGGGTTGAAAAGGCTGTATCATACAAGAACCCATCGAAACCTAAAATGAATAAAGTTTACCTCAAGAAATTTCGGCTGGAAGAAAATAGGAGTCCACGCTGTAGAACTATAGCGGTTTTGGCCCAGTCACGGAAAAATTTGCGGAAAACTCAAATCGCGGATTATCGAGACTATTGTTTTTGCGGCATTTATTTTTCCGGTTATTTTCCCCTTAAATTTCTCCTCACTACATTTAACTTACTTATCCTGAAATATTTATTCTGCCTTGGGGTTGATATGTTTTTGATATTTATCATTTTGTTCGACAATAAAGTAATATGATGTGCGTACTTTTGTCGCTCCTCTTCATTTTAACGTGAGCTCCACAAATAATACAGGTATACGCAAGACAGGGCTCGGGTGAAAATCGAGATACGCCCTTACGCCAGAGGAGCGACGATTTTTTCCTCATACTTCATTTTCCGTTTGAAGTAAACACTTAAGGCCACGCGATTGGGAAATGCAGGGTATTTCGAAACATTTCCTTTAAAAGGTTTCCTCTATCTCTCTCTCTCTTCTATATTATAAGCTCCGAGACCTCCTACATTTGCATATCTGGTAACGCTTATAACGCTTATAGTTCCAGCGTTCTACCAGGCCGATTTTCATGATTTTGCGGCTTTCGACAGACAATTGTCTCTGGGTGATCCCGCTGTATTTAGATTTGAAAAAATGATACCAGGTTTTTTATAATACGTGGTAAAGTTGCGAATTCTCCCATTTAAACAATAAGTAAAAAGCTTTTTTTGTCACAATTCGGACTTTTTAGTCCGTAGATGAGCCCGTTGTAATCAGAGTTTGAAAATGGGACCCAGGTTTTTTTTTAAATATAAGAGTAGATCAGAAAGCTTAGGAAGGAGGGGAATTTCATATTTAGCGGAAAATGGAACTTTGCTGGAAATGTTGAATCTTGGTCTGTTAGTGGGGTAAGTGAATTAACGGTATACTCCTTGCTACAGCCTATCAAAAAGCGACGAAACGCTTCGTTCTATTCTGTTTCAGTCTTGGCGTGAAGTTTGCAATGAGTGCTAATTTTTTCATTCGATTCTTACTGGTCCAATCACTCCCGAGTAGGGTGAGATGGGACAAATCGTCGTTTCCTGGACGTAAGGGCGTACCTCAATTTCAACGTGAGCTCTGTTTTACATATAAATCTATGCTTTCTCGGGCTCTTGTGGAAATCGAGATACGCCCTTACGTCAGAAGAGCGACAAAATGAGAGTCGAGTTTGAAAATCTTCTCATTTTTTTGGTCGTTCTTTTGTCGTCGCGCGCCCAAGAAAGCACGATGCGTCCTCTAGGGTTTGGGCCGCCTAGCAGCCAGGGGGCATAGACTAGTGGTTGGCCAATACCTACGTCCTGCGTCACAGCGCGCCACGTCACTGCTTTTGAGGGACTCGCCTCCTCTCTCCTCTTTGAGCGGTAAAACTAATTTTAAGGCCTTTTGTTTCGTCCTCCGTTGTAATAAAACATTCATTACACATTTTAAACATGAATGACCGTTTAAAATTCTGCCGCACTAATGAAGAACACAAGCGCGGGAATAAGTGTTCTTGTCTCCGATTGCAACTTTGCACATCTCTACTCATCTTTCATCATTTTTTTTAAAGTTACACACAGTTTGTCAGAGGTTTCCGAAAAATTTCTGGGATAATTTAAATAGAATCACAAAAAATTTCGAAGCGATATTTTTGTTCGTTGTTTTCTTTTTATTTAATCAAAATTAATGCGCAAATCAAATTTCAGAATCGCTGCATCGTTTAAACGTCGTTCGAGTTTCTGAATCGTTGCAATTAAGATACATATTTACCCTTTAATTGTGGTAAAAACCGAGTAGAGACTGCCAAGAGAAATGAGGCGTGGTCCTAGTTTTGCGGCGATTTTAGTGTCGCGCAAGCCGGGGAAGGGAGCGCGGTCGAGTGTCGAGTCATCTTCACAGTGTGATGCGCCTTCAATCCAGCTAGCGGTAATCCGTCGGTGCCCGTAGTCGAATAGGTATCACACATGGACCGCGTTTAACAGAAAAGAATCAAGCCACATCAGCTATGGCCAATTTTAACTGGGCAATTTAATTTTTTACGAGGAAACGTTTGTGCGGATCCCTTTGAAAATGTTAAGGAATTTGCTTCGTACTATGGAGAAAATTCACTGAAATTTGCACGAAAATCCGCTCAACTGTTTTCATGTAAAAAATTAAATTAGCCGATTAAATTTGGCAATAGCTGGTGTGGCTTGGTTCCTTTCTGTTTAACGCGGTCCAAATGGCAATGCGCTTGGTGCAATGCGAGCAGTATTCATGCACTCTTGTAGGCGCCAATATGCGCTTGACACCGACCGCACTGTTTGGCGCAACGCGTGAAGTATTCCCACAGCCTTGCAGGCGCTGATATGAGTTTGACGCCGACCGCACCGTGTTTGGCGCGATTATTCGAACTCGCGTTAGGGTAATCGCGGCATTGATCTTGGGGTTTGAGCGCAAATAGACTTGATGTAAGTAAACAAAACTTGAATCTGCCTCCAAAGTAATTTCTTTTGAGTCAGGAAGAAAATATGCCTTTGTCAGGGCAAAGTTGCTTGTATCGAGGCAAAACTCGAGTGATTCCCACGATTTCATTCTTGATTCAAGAGGAAATCATTTTGACAGAAAATTCAAATTAATTTTTTCCCGGTGTGCAAAACTTGCAAAGCGTCCTAAGTTACTAAATGAGCAGGGATAGCAGCCGAGTAAACTGCAGGAAAAAAAAATTCCCTGTTGCATAAATACGTCAAATAAAGATGAACAAAATCTCACCATCCAATTCGTCCAGACTGGCACCGTTGCCGCCAAAATCACTTGCCAACGCGTTCTTATCGATCGAGTCGAAAATCGAATCGCTCCCGGCGGTGTGGATTCGAATCCGGACCCTCAGTTTCTCCGGCAGATACCGCCTCACCAACTCGATACTCTTGTACAGAAAATCGGGGGCGTTGACGAAATGCTGCACCTGCAAGCTCTCGGAATACGTGTTGAGCAAGTTGGCCAGCCTGTGGACATGCGGAAGCGTCTTGAGGATATGCTTGTAGCTCAGATTCTGACAATCGACTATCGAGATATACTTCCTAAGTCTGCTCTTTTCCAGATGCATGGCGTCGGCAAGCATGAGGCTTCTCTTGTAGGTGTCCCGCTGGTCGAATTTATCCGGGTCGGGGCCGAACCTCGAGTACATGAGAGTGTACCCATCTTTGGTTTCTCTCTCCTCGATGACGGTGAGCAAGGCCTCCCTGGCTCGGAGTATGGCGGGGGATATAGGGTCTCGGTTTTTCATGTAGTCGGGGTATTCGTTCTTGAGGGAGTAGTAGGCAGCTAGCTTGGCTTTGGTCTTCTCCAGGCTGAACCGGTTGTTGTAGAAATAAGTCTCCAACCAGTTCTCATCCTCGATGCTGGGGAGGTGCGGTTCTTTGCTCATCCATTCTTTCAGTTGTCTCACGCTCTCGCGGATGACCTCTGGCGGAGGCTCTCGGGGGTCACGATACATCATTTTTCAGACCTGGAAATTTCAGGAATTTGATGATTAATTTTTTTTTTTTTTAACTTTATTTATGTAACAGGAAATACATATTGTATTAACTGTTTTTACATTATTAGGATTAAATAAGAAATTGTGATGTGAGTTGGTGAGTCGTTGGACTATAGCTTGCTTAAATTATAGATAGATACTACATACAATTTTTGTTGTAACTATGTCACTGCTTCCCAGCGTCCAGCAGGCACCGCTGTGGCAATTGATGGAGGGCCATCATTCATGGAGAACTCACACTTACTGGACGCTGGTTGGCAGGGACAAAGTAGAACATAGATTATCTTAGCGCAGGTTGTATAGCTATTGTATGATTAATAAGACTACCTTCCGTGATGAATAACTACTATTTTTGTCTAATTTTATGTGATATCAGTTTCCCTTAATAGACAGGTGCTTTAACGGATAGTGAGCTGAATCCGAATTATTTTGAGGAGAACGCAGCCGAAGCGCCTTCAATTATTCAAGCACGCAACAAGGACATCCCCTGAGCACCAGTAGTTGCATCCAAACGTTTTTAGTAGCGTCGTCATCCGTTTGACGGAGTATTTACATTTTATTTCATACAGGAATGACCACGTATCTCGTTTGCGATGTTTAAAAATTTCTGCTACCGTTAATAGGTATCACAAGTGGACCGCGTTTAACAGAAAGGAACCAAGCCACATCGACTACTGCCAATTTTAACTGGGCAATTTAATTTTTTGCGAGAAAACGTTTGTGCGGATCCCTTTGAAAATGTTAAGGAATTTGCTTCGTACCATAAAGAAAATTCCCTGAAGTTTGCACGAAAATCCGCACAACAGTTTCCATGTAAAAAATTAAATTAGCCGATTAAATTTGGCAATAGCTGATGTGGCTTGGTTCCTTTCTGTTTAACGCGGTCCAAATAACATTCGCATTGCGTTCCGTGCAATGCGAGAAGTATTCATGCAGTCTTGTGGGCGCTAATATGCGCTGGGAGCCGACCGCACTGTTTAACGCAATGCGTGAAGTTTTCCTGCAGTCTTGCAGGCCGTTATATTTTTTGAGAGAAAACAAAGTAATATTATTTCTTGAAATTTTCACTGAGTTTTTTTCCCAAAGAGAGGGAAAAACATGGAAGTTTTCGAGAATTGACGTTGAGTAATTTTCCATTCAAAAAATAAAGTGTGACAGGAAGTCTATACAACGTCGCAAACCGAGATACGTGGTCTGGTAGTTTCATCGTCGAAATGTTTTAGTGAAAATAGGCGTTCTCTCATATTTTCACTTTTTATTTTTTATATTTCTTCTATGTACTAGTGAATCGGCCGAATGTAATTGATTTAAAGCACTAACAATTTTTTTTAAGTTTGAGAAATGTTGAAGAAACACGTTTTAAACTTTAGTGGTTGATATTTCTATTCAATTGTTATAGATTCTTTTTATTCGAATTAAATCTGCTCATTAATCAATACAAAAAATAAGTTAACAAGGCACACTTTAAATATTAAAATTTATATGATAATGGTACCCTTCTTGTTTACCGACTTTTGCTAAAGTGAAAAATGACTGTCAGGATTTGAAAAAAATGAGCGTTGCTTCCAAACTACCTTTATTTTCAGAAATTTCATGACGAGATAAAACTCTATTTCAATTTAATTTCCGAGTCTCATAGATTCTATTTGAGTCCCAGGTAATTGAAAACTATGTGGATTCTACATAGCATCAAAAGGAGCTTTGCATCAAATTGGAAAGGTGGGGGTGACCTAACTTCTATTTCCTTCTTCTTACATAATGTAAATAATGAGATTACAGATTTCAGTATTAAAGTAACAAACCATAATTTTAGAAATTATTTGTTTGGAGAGATCAGGGGTTGTTAATCCTAGGTCAGTTAATGAAAGTTAATGTTACGAACAACGTTTTCATTTATGAAGAATTAATGTGTGCGCCTACCTTTTTTCAAAATGGGAACCGGAAATCCATGGTTATGAGAAAAATCACCTGTTTCCAATTCAAATTTTTAGAGTTTTCTAAATGATCGTTCTCTGAAACATGAATAAATAGATTGAATGCAGAGGGTTGTTATAAGAAGCAAACATTTAACAATGACGAAAGATGACGATCTTTAAAGATACGAGAGGGAGAGGTAAATTTATCAAGAAAAATTTTCTTAAAACGTGCTTTTTTGTAGGAAATATAACTTCAGCCAGCCACATACGCAAAAAGATGCTAACATGATATGTCTATGAATATTTATTTAGTACTTTCGTTGTATCTTAAAATTGTGGATTTATTGAAATGAATTCTGCTCGGAGTAAGTTTTGAGGACTGTTTTCAGCAATAAGTTGACAACTAAAATTATCTTCAAACAGTCTCTCTGACTTTTTAGATACCCTCAATTCACAAATTAGAGTACATTCACATCATCTCTTTTTTGGCAAGTGCTTGCAGATCTAATGAATTCAGAATTTAATTACATAAGTGTGTAAAGGCGTGTTCTACAAATATTTGTATGCATAGAAAACACCTAAAAATGGCGAACTAAACCTGAGTTACAGCGGTTTGGGGCACGTGATTCAAAAAACTTATATAGTTTCCAGAGGTGCGCTAAATTCACGATAAGGAGCAAGGCATTGCCTCATTATAATAAAACTTTTCTCTCTCTATTTTCACAAAAATGTACTATAGCGCCTGCTGCTTATTCTTTAAAATATTGAAGATATTTTTCTGTTAAAATCTCAAAATCTAATTTTTTGACCCAACTCAATGAAAATCTCTCCATCAAAAATTTGTCCTCCATGGACTATAAACCCTATTTACCAATTTCAAGTTTAGCTTCTTAAATAATTTAAAGACACTGTTGCCGTTGATAGCTAGTCTGAAGAGTATTTAATTTCCTCTAATGTTGATAAAAAATGAGGCTCGGGAATTCGGGATGCAATCAACCGGGATCTTGGCTATCACTGGCTAAAGTGCAAGACCACATATCTTGGTTTGCGACGTTGTAGACTTCCAGTCATACATTAATTTTTCCTTGGAAAACTAGTCACTTTAATTTCTTGAAAACTTCCATGATTTTTCCTCTCTGTTTGTAAAATATTCTGTATTAATTTCAAGCCATAAAACTGACTTAATCCTCTGTGAAAAAATAAAGTAGGAGCTGAGTTATTGGAACACCGCGATGGAAATACATGGTTTGGTGCTTAGGCAATAATATGAGACTATACCTTCTCTAAGGCAGTCCGTATTCCATGAACTGAAAATGTAGGCTCTCATTTCCACTTTATATCAAATAGAGGCGGATCCAGCAATTTGGCAACACCGGATTTCCTCAATTTGAACCCATGCTGAATACTCGATTCTTGTCGAAGCACCTGGCCCCTCCAAGAATCGATATATTTCCATAGGTTTAAATGGAGGAAAGACAATGTTGCCAATTTAATGGATCCGCCAATGCTAGCCATGCTGCCGTACTAAGGAAAAACACCGTATGAACATTCGAGGGTTGCCAAATTTCTCCGGATAAAACATGTATATTCGAGGAAAGTTATGCATATATTTACATGAAATTTTCGGAAAATTTAAATCAAGTTGCGAACAAAACTATCTGAAAATTTTGGAAAAAAAATAATATTCAAAATTTTACCAGTAAATTTGGTTTTTAGTAATGGAAATCTGGTAACGTCTGAAGGCTCATGCGGCGTTTTTCCTTGGCACGGCAGTATGGGTTCGTTGCAAATGTCAGCAAGAGGAAAGGCAAAAGTTGATCGAGGAAGAAAATGGTTCAAAAATTATGATGATAGCATTGACAAATCTCAAATTTTGCTCTTTCCTTCCTCGACAGCGCTTATATCAAAGGACAGTTTGATAAAGTGGTAAACTTACCCAATTATTTTGAATATTTTCTCCCCATTTGCTTAGGAAGTTTTTTAAAGCAAACGCTTTCTTTCGCTTTGGAGGTTACAATGAATTCGTCCGTCCCGTCCACTAAGAGCCGCACTAAATAATGCACTAATAAGCACTGCACCAAATAATTAGACTTCCCGCCAAAAACTTTTCAAGACGTGTGCAAGACGGACAGCACCCAAAGTTATTGTACTCGAGAATGGCTTAAATTGTAGACAGAACTCAACGTAAGTAAACACACTAGATCTAAATAAACATGGAAGAATTTTCGATTAACGTTGCAAATTTGGGACAGTTCAGGCGATAAATCCACGTGAGTGTGTTATCTATCGTAAGGTCAAAGTACTGTGTCGTCTTTATCATTGCCGTTGCGTACAGAGACATTATTTTCATTTTGTTCAATATTAAGAAACTTAAATTAGAATACATTACATTCGGTGGATATTAGTATGACGATTCTCCTCTCTAAATTTTATTGTCATGGGAACGGAGTTCCCCATGATATTAGAATCGTTCCCTTGCTTTCGCTATGGGATTCCCTATACCTCTGCGACCTTGAGCGTTTCGCCCAGTCTCCGATTTTTGGTTGATTTTCCGATGTATCAAAAACCGTTGTAATTTTTAGCCAATCATGTCTCTACGTCAAGTTGTGTTGATTGCTAAAATTCGCTTTCAGCGAGTTTTTT